CAGCGGGGCAAAGTGACTTGCCCAAGGTCATGCAAGGAGTCTGTGTCAGAGCCAGGAATTAAAGTCCCATTTCAGTGCCTTAACCACAAAAACCAGAGCGGCGATTAGACTGCAAGGCTGCAATCCCTGGCCTCGTTGCTGTGGAGGGCAAAACTCCCCTGAATTCAGTGGGGCCAAGATTTCACCCCCAGGTCCCTGGGCTCTGAGCTTTTGCTTTACCCTCCCCATCCAAGATTCGTGCTGACACTAAACCGGCCACTCTTGAGGGAGATCGAGAAGTGACCTGGCTTCTTTGTAGGTTTGTGGCTCTACAGTCTGACTTTGCTTTGAAGGGAAACGTTCTGCTTCTACTTTTTCTGAAGATCTGTTTTCTTCCAAATTCCTGTAAGGATTTACAAGGCCTGTGCAGCTTGGCAGCAGTGCTGACAGCGGGTCACTAAGCAAAACCTCGGCAAACAGCTCCTGTAGGTGCTGACTGCATTCGGGGTAGACTGGAACGTAATGACCGGGCATGTACAGCGCTGCCTTCGTAGCGGATTAACTAAAGGACTTGAGCACTAGGAAATCAGCTTGTGCCAGTGCACCAGTTCACGTATATCTTTCACAGAGACGCTGTAAGAAAACACATCCCAGATGCTTAATAGCATCATTGATCTTAATTGGGTTTTAGTAAGACAATAAATATCCAAAAAGGAAATCCACCTCCATTTGCCTAATGATTGAAGAGATCAGTTTGTATGATAACAAGAAAGTGATACAGTGGAATAAGTTTGTATGATGAAATATGTCCTCGGAGCTGGTTATTGGAGAAGAGAGAGAGTCATTTCCCATTGAGTATAAATGAGTTGGAAAGAGCCGTAGAATATAAATAAAATAAATAAATAAATTAGATGTAAATATAGATGTACAAATAACACCTTAATGATTGGAGGAACAGGGATTTAATTCTATTCTATTGCCAGAAGCTGGGAATGGGCGACAGGGGATGGATCACCTGGTGATTACCTGTTCTGTTCATTCCTTCAGGGGCGCCTGGCACAGGCCACTGTCGGAAGACAGGATACTGGGCTAGATGGACCTTTGGACCTACTGGGTCAGACCATTCTTATGTTCTTATGGATCACAGCCTTTCACTTTTTATGTGCCATGCGTTGCGGCAGAGGCTCCGAAACTCTCTTGCCGAGCCCCCCATTTGGCGCTTCAAGACTCGTGCTGAAAACAGGAGTGTAGCCACGGCGGGGCGAGTGGTGGAAGGGGCTGGCGGGGTGAGTGGTGGAAGGGGCTGGCGGCGCCAAGTACATGCCAATCTGAGACCACAAGGACGTACTCCGGGCAATGAGGCTGTTTGCACTGCTGCAGCTACACTTCTGGGTTTTTTTTAGCACGCTAGCTCGATCAGACCTAGCGTGGGCATGACTCCTCGAGCTGGAATTTACCCCTCCAGCTCAACGTGTAGACAGACCTACTCATGGACTTGAGGAAGGAAAGCCTTCCCACCATAAGGGACACTCCAAGTCGAACACCCCTGTTATCCCAGCCCTTCACTCCACCCAGGGAAAAAACCCTACCACAAGCAGAGTCTTTACTTGGCCTGGGAGAAGTGCCAGAGGCTCCAGGAAGCCCACTAGGGACTTTGTTGTTGCTATTGATTTTACATGGAAGATGCTCAAATGCCGTGGTGACGTGTGCGACAGGATAAAACTCTAAGACAGATAAAATAGGTCCGTGGGTGACATTTTCTGGGCTGTGTCCTACAAGAAGTCAGGCTAGAGCAGTGGTTTTCAACCTGTGGTCCACAGCCTATGCCTAAGATTTCCAAAGGGGTCTGCACCTCCACTTGACATTTTTCAGGAGTCCGCAAATGAAAAAAGATGGAAAACCGCTGGACTAGCTGATCTTCATGATCCCTTCTGGCCTTAAACTCTTAGTATATGACTTTAGTGGAGAGATGCTAATTTAGCCAAGCTGAGGCTCTGGCCCAAGGTGATATGCAATGGTGACTGAGCTCCACATATGGATGCATGTTATATAGCGTGAGGGACTTTTAGTCCTATTTTAAGTGCAAATCTCAATGCGACCTTAACTACAGAGTCACTACTAATGCCCGAATGTTATTATGTGTGTATCAATTATATTTATGGCACTGATCTAGTGAAAGTATTGAAGGACCTACTTAACTTTAAGCATGTGACTAGCTCTGTTGAAGTCAATAGGAGTCCAGTAAGTTGCATGCGTCCAGTTAAGTGCTTGCTTCAGCACTTTGCTGGATTGGGGGCGGGGGGCGCCCAGGAGGTCTATTTTAGAAGTAGATGTAACCTAAATATCCAGAAAACTTGCAGTCATGGAAAGCTTATCGGTATCAGCAGGGTGCGCCTTGAAAATGTGACAGCCATGCAGGAAAGTACAAGATAACGCTCATTCTTTATCCGGCACTAGTTCCAGGCTCAGTAACTGGGTGGATGCTTTGGGTTACAAACCACCAGCCTCCCTCTCAGGCCATTCTGTGCTGCTAGGCCGGAAGCCGTGATGCTGCTGGAGTGTTTTGGAGCCGTAGCCAACAAGAGGGCCTGCTACCACGCCCAGATGCCCCCGCTTCCCCCGCAGCACTGAATGCTGCCTCAGAGGGCTTGAACCCCATTTCCCATGCTAAGGGGCAACTTCTGCTCTTTAGTCCACAGCAGGAGTGACTGAAGCTCCCTAAAAGGGGGGGGGGTGGCACCAGCACCCAAACTGTGGCCCCGTGCCCCACATCACCTTCCCCCCGAAGCCCCGCCCTCGGACTGCCACTTCCCCCAAGACCCCACCCCCTGCTCGCTTATCTCCGCCCCTCCCCCCATTGCTTGCCTTTACAGCTGGTAAAAAGTGATGGCGCTATGGCTCCTGGTCCCCCTTGTTCCAGCGCTCTTGGCCCACAGGCGCAGTTCTCACTGGCGTCAGTGGAAGACGCCCTGCTGGGCTGAGAGCAGCGTTTCATGTGGAGCAAAAGCCACCCCTGGCCAGAGGGGCAAGACAATCCCTGTGTCCCAATGGGAACAGAGAATCTTGTGCTGCCGTCTGCACGGGGTGAATTTCACCCTTGTTTTCATGCGACACCAGGCAGCTGTCCAGACAGGGAGGCACAGGGCATCCGAAATGAAAAGATGAGCATCAACAACAACCAGCTATTGTCCCTCAGGAACAACTGGAGACAACATTTAATACTCTGATGTCTGGATAACTTGCCCTCAGGGGAAATCCCCCCCCCCCCATCCCCCGCAACTCTACTGACTTCTAGCCATACTCTCTGTCTCTTGCTGCAGTGTGCTCTTAAGTACCTGCGGCGTTCCACCCAAGAGGCATTTGCTCTTCTCTAGTGGCTGAAGTGATTCCAGTATACGTTGTAATTGAGTCTGCAAAGCACCTTCTAGGATCCTTTGGGATGGAAGGACCCGTGTGTATATCTGTGACCGTTATTATTGTGACAGGTGAACCGGGTACTGGATTGGAGCTCAAGTGGCCTGGGCTCTCGTACCTTCTGCTTGAGACCTTGGGCAAGTTCCTTCCCCTTTCTGTGCCCCTTGTTCCTCTCCCACCCTTGCTGTGACTTATCAAAGTAGTTGGCAAGATTTTCAGGGTAAGGACTGTCTCTCACTTGGTGGACGTGCAGCGCCTAGCACAATGGAGCTCTGATCTCATGTGCTTAATAGTACTAACGCTGGGAACTGTAGGTCGATGCCAAATGTATTTTAGCTGCTCGGTGATGTTTGGCGAGCCCTTTGGCTCTTTGAAAACGACGCACAGATTTCAGTTCATAGTCTGAGTCCAGGAGAAACACAGACCCTCTGCTTCCATGGTAGTAAATTCAGGAAGGCAACTAGGGGCATAATTAGCAGTTGATTGAATGACAATTCACGGTAGTGTTCAGGGTGACCTCCAGCTAACCCCCTGGCCATCCCATCCGGGAGTACCCTGCTTCTACTGATGCAAAGGTACAGAACTAGCTGCCAAAGCTAGTGTCTGACCTGACACGGTTTTGTTATTTTAAAGCAAGGTGCAGATGGCGGCCGATGCAATCCAGCAACGTGGCAGGAGGAGGTAGACTGCGTGTGACTAGTTTGCATTGTATTTCGGCTCTGTGGGTAGGGGAGTCTCTCCTTTTATATCACATGGTTACACTCCAACGGTACTTCCCTCAGGACACAATTGTACATGGGATTTGGGCCTAAGGGGCTTTAAAGAAACAGAAGACAAACTCCATTTCCGCTAAATAATGGAGCGGCGTGCCTGGCCAGCTAGCCGTACTCGCTTCAGAGCCCTGGGGGAATTACCAGGCTGGCCGCAGGGGCAGGTCACAGGGAGTGCTTTTATGAGCTGGGAAACTCTTGGGGGGGAACTTCCCGTGTGACCAAAAAGGAAATCCACACGCAGCCATTTGAGCGATGCTTGGACGGGGGGGAGGGAGGAAAGCTGCCTTGAACGCATCTGATACTGCGTTTTATTTTGCTTTAGAGCAGCCGCCCTTGAGATACCGGTGTGAGCAGAGCCTTTCCCTGTAAAGATCATGCTGTTACTCAAGGGATATTGATTTATGAAGAGGCTTTCAACATAAGGTGCCCGCATCTTTCACACGCAAGGCTTCCCACCAGGCCAGCCGTGGTAGCACCAGCAAAACATTTATTGCATGATGGCAGCACCGAGATGCCTCAGGGTCCCCCGTTGCCCTAGGTGCTATAAATACATCCCTGCCTCCAAGACCTCACCATCTAAATAGACAAGACAATAATCCTTCCTTTATCTCCGTTTTGCAGATAGAGAAACTGAGGTCCTGGTCACACAAGGAGTCTAGGTAGAGCCAGGAACCGAACCCAGATTCCCTCAGTTGACCTCTAGTACCTTAGTTACAAGACCATCTAGTCTCTTGAATGTGCCACCAATTCGTCATGAGCAGCTTCAGTAAGGGAGAGCCAGTTACAGTTTGCTTCATAAATAACGGGTTCACTATTTCTCTATTTTCCTTTCAGAAACCCACGATGTCCACCCTGAAGCTCCCAGGCTAGGAATCTGCCTTGGGACACGCCGCTGCCCCTTTAAACCTGGCTGCCCCAGCCCAGAATGGCTTTGTGCCTCAGCCAAGTTTTCAACAAAGACAAAACCTTTCGCCCCCGTAAGAAATTCGAGCCCGGCACCCAGCGGTTTGAGCTGTACAAGAAAGCCCAGGCCTCTCTCAAATCTGGGCTGGATCTGAAGACTGTGGTCCAGTTGCCACCTGGGGAGAATATCAATGACTGGATAGCGGTGCACGTGGTTGACTTCTTCAACAGGATAAACCTTATCTATGGGACGATGTCGGAGTTCTGCACCGAGAAGAGCTGCCCCATCATGTCCGGTGGGCTCAAATACGAATACAGGTGGCAGGATGATCACAAGTACAAGAGGCCGACCAAGCTATCGGCACCCCAGTACATGTGTATGCTGATGGAATGGATCGAGATGCTCATTAACAATGAAGACATATTTCCTACCAGGATCGGTAAGTTGGCTGTAGTTCTTACATTCAGATAACAACTATTGTGATCATCTCGTCTGGCCTCCTGCATAACACAGGCCCTAGAACTTCACCCAGGGGTTCCCACATCCAGCCCTGATGGCTTGTGGTTACTCATAGACTTTAAGGCCAGAAGGGACCATCATGATCATCTAGTCTGACCTCCTGCACATCGCAGGCCACAGTACCTCACCCGCCCACTCCTGTAATAGACCCCTAAGCTCTGGCTGAGCTACGGAACTCCTCAAATCATGATTTAAAGACTTCAAGCTACTGAGAATCCACCATTGACACTAGTTTAAACCTGAAAGTGACCCATGCCCCATGCTGCAGAGAAAGGCGAACCTCCCCACCCCCGCTGCCCCGAGTCTCTGCCAATCAGACCTGGGAAGAAAATTCCTTCCTGGTCCCAAATTTGGCAATCAGTTAGACCCTGAGCATGTGGGCAAGACCCACCAGTGAGATAATTGGGAAAGAATTCTCCCCCTCTAGTGTCCCATCATCGGCCATTGGAGATATCGGCTGCTAGCAGTCACAGATCGGCTATATGCCCTTGTAGGCAACCTCATCATACCATCCCCTCCATAAACGTATCAAGTTCAGTCTTGAATCACAGCATATCTTTTAGCTAATTGTCCTGTCATGATGTAAAGACTCCAAGGGATGGAGAATCCAGCACATCACCAGTAACATGTTTCCATAGATAATTACTTTCTCTGTTAAAGAAGTTTTGCATCTTCTTTTTCACATTCATTGGAAAGGCAAAGGAAACTATGCCAGCTCTATCCTGCAATCAGCTTAATGAAGTGACACTATGAACTCAGTGTGTTGAATCCTTTCCCCGTACATTTGGTGTTTTGTGGACGTGGGGGACTCCTAGCACTCATTAGAGCCAGGCAGGGCATGTGGAGTGGTGCTACTCAAGCTTCCTGTACATAGCTGTGGCAATGCACTCCACCCCAACCTATGATATGCCTTGCTATTCCACTCCTAGGCTACTTGTGGCCTACAAGGACATGTGGCTTTTTCAATGAGGACAAATCTCCACCAGGAGAATAGGAGGTGGCCCACCACAAACAGTTGTTCTTATAACCTAACCCGGTTTCCAGAGGGAAAAAGTTTGTGAACTAACCCTCTTTATTGCCCATCCTGCAGATTTAATCCTCGTTACCCCTGTGGGTAACTATGGTGAAAACATCACACATGCTAATCAGGTTCATCTGCCTTCTTTGGGGAGATCAGGGATTGGAGTTTACTGGGTTCGCTGATCGGTATCGGTGATTCATTATTCAGTCTGATGGACACATACCAGCAATCCTGTTTCCATACATATGGCTCTTGCTGTTTCAAGTGTCTTCATGGAGCACCCGGATTCCATAAATAAACTTCCCCCTAGATAGCAGTCGGTCCTCTCCGTGGTTCAGTTGTATTGAACCCAGCTGCCAAGCCCACATGGCGCTCTTGGAAGCGGTTCCTTTTCCGATGAAGTGAGCAACGCTTGTGTGTTTGTGTTTTTTTAATTTTTCCTCCTCCTCCAAAGGGAAGCTTTAAGAATCTTAAGACATAGTGATCATCCTTCCAGTGAAACACAGCCCTTGGCACGTCTTCCTCGCGATTACTGCTTTCCAGAGGAGCATGGGCTTGTGAATCTGAATCCAGTCACTGCAGTTGAGGATTCCTATTTTAGTTACCTTGGTGGGAAAGCCGTAGGAATCTGGGATGGAAAAGACCAGTGCAGGATTATTGAGCGAAATCCTCAACTGGTGTCGAGTGGCACGGCTCCAGTGACGTCCTCATATTCTCCAGTCCAGTTCCTGATGACTTAACTGATGGGGCTTCCATTTCTTCCCTTGGGAGACTGTTCCACACTTTAGGGGCACGACTGGCAGACGCTTAAATTGATGGGGCCTGTCTCGGTAACTTAACGCAATGCACGCTAATGCAAGGCGGTGCATCCAGACTCCATGCATATGGGTGGACAGTGGCTGTGCCTCTCAGCTGGCCTTGCACTCCATTGTGTTGGGCACTTTGGTTTCTGAGCAGGCATCCGATGAGTCCCAGCACTGCTGCAAACTCTGGCATGCTGGGTGCAATGTCACGGGGCATGCTGGGGGAACTTGTTTGCCACCTGGAGGGTTATGGAAGGAAAGGCTCAAACTGAAACTGACACTACAAGAAGGATGTGGAAAAATTGGAGAGAGTCCAGCAGAGGGCAACAAAAATGATTAGGGGGCTGGAGCACATGACTTATGAGGAGAGGCTGAGGGAACTGGAGTTGTTTAGTCGGCAGAAGAGAAGAATGAGGGGGGATTTGATAGCTGCTTTCAACTACCTGAAAGGGGGTTCTAAAGAGGATGGATCTAGACTGTTCTCAGTGGTAGCAGATGACAGAACAAGGAGTAATGGTCTCAAGTTGCAGTGGGAAAGGTCTAGGTTGGATATTAGGAAACACTATTTCACTAGGAGGGTGGTGAAGCACTGGAATGGGTTACTTAGGGAGGTGGTGGAATCTTCTTCCTTAGAGGTTTTTAAGGTGAGGCTTGACAAAGCCCTGGCTGGGATGATTTCATCGGGAATTGGTCCTGCTTTGAGCAGGGGGTTGGACTAGATGACCTCCTGAGGTCCCTTCCAACCCTGATATTCTATGATTCAGTGAAGTGATGGTGCAGGACAATATTAACTGGCAGGTGGCTCCCAGCCAGGATCACTGTTTGGCTGAAGAGGCTAGGCAGAGGATAAGATGGGCTACCTTTTTGAGAGGATTCTGGAGGATTGTGGGATAGCACTGGAGGACTAGCTTGCATTCATTGTTGAATCACGGCACCGCCTCATATTCACACACAACTGAGCTAGCTACATGTGATTTGGCCTAACCTGGGGTTGATCGACACTTTCAATAGAGAGAGTTCTGTGTCAGAGGGAACAGCTGATCTCTCCCTGGAGTTAAAAATGCTCATCTAGATGTCCCTAGTTGTTGTTTGGATGTTCTGGAGGCAGCTGCTCCTGCCCTGAGTGAGGGGATAAAAGCCCTCGCAGCTTGAACCTCTCGACTGCTGTTTGGGATTGCTGAGCTCTCTGGCTCTTGCACAATGCTACTGTTGCCAAGGGGATAAAGTGAGGGTAGCAGAGAGAGAACTGAGGGGCTCCTGCTCGCCCAGTACAGCCCCCTGAGTGAAAGGAGAATCTCCATTAGCAGTATAGGGTCTCTGACGTGTGCAGTTCTGATTCCATCCAGAGAAAGGCACACCCCAATCAGGTCATTGCAAGATCTTTGATTCAGAATTTGGGGCTTGAACTTGCTGATCACTAACCTGTCATTATGGGAGCCTGAATTAAGGAAGAAATCTAATTTTTGCTCCCACTTAGTGGCAGTATTAGAGTGTCATTGATCCTGATGGGCATCAATCTATAACGAGCACCCTCTTCAACATCTCCTTGCTCGCAGAGCCTGTCCTTTCCTGCAGGCATGCGGCCTCTGGGTTTAGAAGCTGTAGATCTGATATCTTGAAATTAGAAGTGGAAACAGCCAAAGCGAAGAATGGAAATGGTCTTGGAGCAAAAAGATCAAATCAAAGCTGTTAGGTGCGAGTGCTTTGGCCAAAGCCTGCCGAAGAAACCATCCTTCCCAGCCTCATCCCATAAATATCTCCCCAAGGGGAGGGAACCCAAAGTGAACCCAAACCCAACAGGCAAAGCAAGACCTTGGCATGCCTGAGCCCACGCTGGCATGAAGGATGTGGACCGAGACTATGTTCCCATGGGCTGGAAGTGAAGTACCATGACCGAAAACGCCTCTGCCAAGGTTCCTGCAGGAGAAATGGGAGGGCTCCTGGCAAGCAGCCACTGGCATCACTGGATACAGACCCTCGCCACATGGCAAAGCTGCTGTTAGCCAAAGCTGTAATGCCACCCTGTGTGAGCTTGCATCGGGTGAGGTCAGGCCTTCCAAAAGCCGGGGTTTACAGTTCACCTCTGAAATTGTCAGGCATTAGGGCTTGCAGCTGAGCCTGGGACCGGCTACCTCCACCTCCCTAGTGAACGATGTAGGACTGGTAGCTGAAGCCTTAGTTGGCTTGCAGCTCAATCATCTGACTTGGCCAGACCGCCTGATTGGCTGGAGGAACCAGCAGGCCTGGGTGAAGCATGAAACCTCCTCAGGGAGGCTAGTCACCTGGCTTCGCTTCTTCCACCCGAGGCTCCACCCCCAACCCCCCACTGTGGCCCAGGACGAGTCCCAGCCGAACGGCCCCGAGCACTGGCTGGCCCAACCCCCGGGCCGCCAGCTAGGGTTGCCAACTGTCTAATCACACAAACCAAACACCCTTGCCCCGCCCCTTCCCCGAGGCCCCGCCCCACTCACTCTATTTCCCCCCTCCCTCCATCACTCCTTCTCTCCCACCCTCACTCACTTTCACCAGGCTCGGGCAGGGAGTTGGGGTGCGGGAGGGAGTGTGGGGTGCAAGCTCTGGGAGGGAGTTAGGGTGTGGGAGGAGGTGAGGGGTGCAGGGGCCAGCCAGGCAGGGCTTACCTTGGGTGACTCCGGGTCAGCGGCGCAGTGGGGCTAAGGCAGGCTCCCTGCCTGCCCTGACCCCGCACTGCTCCCGGAAGTGGCCAGGACATCCCTGCCCCGTGCGCTCCCCAAATGCTGACTCCGCAGCTCCCATTGGCTGGGAACTGCAGCCAATGGGAGCTGTGGGGGCGGAGCCGGCCTTAGCTCCACTGTGCCGCTGACCGAGGAGCCAGCCGAGGTTAGTGGGGCCAGGGGGCTCCGCGCACTGCTCCCGGAAGCAGCCAGCATGTCCCTGAGGCCCCTGGGAGGGGGGCCACAGGGCTCCGCGCGCTGCCCCTGCCTGCAGGCGCTGCCCCTGCAGCTCCCATTGGCCGCAGTTCCCGGCCAATGGGAACTGCGGAGTCGGCACTTGGGGCGCGGGCAGTGTGCATAGACCCTCCGCCCTCCGCCGCAGGGATGTCCCACGAGTGGCACA